GCTTCTATTTAACCACGACCTTGATCAGCATCCTCTATTAGAAGTGTCTATGGTCGGTTGCATTAGTGAAGGTTGGCATGGTTTTCATATTTTATGGTACTTAAGTAGTCTATTATTGTATGGAAACCGCCAACATCATTTTTTATCACATAAACTATGCTTTCTTGTCACATTTAATAAAATCATCAATGAAGTTACTGTTACTTTCTAAAAGCCATTTGACCAGATTTGTTGTCTCCCTTTGTGAACGAAAAAGAGAATTTTATGAAGAAGGATAACCATACGCTTTCGAATTCGAGGTGAAAGCGATAATTTGTTGGTTGTAATTAGGTGTCGTCTTCCACTAATATTAATAGAACCTATTGCACTGCAGTCAATGAAACCGCTACAAGATAATCAATCGTTCGTTTTGTTCTGTACTGAAGCCGTAACATTTGCTGTGTTTCCCGTTCGAGAACCTTAACGATGCATTTATGAGCACCGAAACAGCTTTGAATGAATACCTTGGATAGCTTCAATAGGAGACTTGGTTACCGTTTTCCGCTATGCATACCTGTGCCTGATACAAGTCTTGAAGCTTGTCTGTTGTTGTCACCGCCAACTGATTCTGCATCTCCCATTACCATTTTTGTTTTTTCTTTCATACTGATAAAAAGCAGTCAGGAGTCCACCAACAAGCACAAAAGGACCAAACAAGGACTGAGCTATTGGATGATCTTTAGGAGGCCGTTTATAGTCCTAGTGGACAACAACGATATTTTCTACCATGCTGCATAAGCCTCCTAACAACGAAGGTGTTTATTGCATCCCGACTTCTTAGCCTGTTAGATCCCACAATCAAAAATTCTGATATCTCTTAATTTCGCAAACGGACCTGGCCACTTCTTGAACCATTAAAAACCTCCTCGCCTAAACAAGACTCTGTCAGACCTGATATAGATCGGAAAGACACCGAAAAAAATAAACATATAACTCAACTAAGTATTAAGTGACCTCGGTTGACAGCACATGATACAAAATGTCGAGGTCATTGTTCTGCTAAAGTAACAATCTAGATCGTCAAATGCATGAAAAAGATAGTTCCCAAAGAACTGGCCAACTTGATGTACGTAAAATTCTATTCATAATCCTCGAAACAGATGCTGCTATGGGGGCATCGGTTAACTGAAAAAACCATCAAGTCTGTCTATAGCAACGAAAGAAATGAGTATACGCACATAGGACGTTTCGGCACGGCAGAATACAGTAGCAAGAAAATTAATCCCTAAATCTCAGCAAGTAAATTCAGGTACTGAGGGATAATTTCATGAGCAACTTATCAAAGATGTCGGAAGCTTAGGACATATGAACGATAACATGGGTTGCAAAAAGAATGGAGTATTTACTATCGAAATATCAGCTCAAGCGCAAACGTAAACCAGTTACCTTGATGCAGCCATATTTAACATTGTCACAAATGAGGTACTGCAGGAAGACGAGAAGGATCCTCATCTTCTACATATAAGGGAAGACCTCACGTCCGAGACTATATGCTCAATGGCCACCAGATAGGTGGACTCCAACATTGGGCGATGAAGAGAGTCGTCGTTCAAGAAGCCACCATGCACAACATACCTCAAGTACACACCTGTAAAGAGATGATTTTGGCTTAGGTCAAACTAAAGACTTGCTACAGACCAAAGGGAACCGGAACCATGACAAGTTCAGTTACAGTAATATGAACATAGATTGCACTGGGCATTGAAAAACAAGTGTCTCAGTAAAATTGGAAGCCATAGAAGGCATTTTCAGGCAAGAACAGTAGTAACTTCAGTCTGTGGTTAGTTTACGTTCAACCCGTAGGTACTTATTGTGCTGAGCGAGTGTGAGAAGTAGCGTCAGAATTAATCTGGATGTGGAAAGAACGAAAGTAAAGATGTGCCGATGGTTCATTAAGCACATAGAATGCACTCACATTTACTTGAGAAGGCAACTGACAGTAGTAAGTAACCATGAAAGCATGAGATCAAGACAAACTGGTTATCGGAACTGGAGGCGGGCAGAGCAAGTGTTCTAGAGTGTTACATAGCAGCTAAAATACAGGCTAACCGAAAACGCCTCCACAGGGTCATGCCAAACAGTGATCTACATACCAGGAGAGCTGTACACTCGATAATTCGACTGAGCTTCAAAGGGACCTTAAATCTATTGGGGAATAGGCAGTGAAAGATGGTTTTAAAATATACCAACCGAGATGTCACGCTGAGTACATTCTGCGCCACACCACACAAACGACTTGTATCCTAAAAGGAACTCCAATTCCTAATGTCTCCTCAGAGTGCGATTTTGGCGTAATAACCAAATAAAAGTGAACACCCAGGTTCGTGCAGACTTTTCTTCATTAAGAGTCGTTACAACTTGGAATGATCTCCTAGCCAATGTGAACAAAGCCCACTCATTGGAACACTTTAAGAAGAAACTTGATAAACACACTCATGCGAGGATTACCATTTCCTGCATAGACAAACTGTGCATGATGCATGTCTTGAGACCTGCGAGTTGCTATGATTGCCATCTCCTCAGATCATCAGCTTAATCTTTCTCGCTTGTTATCTATGTTTTCTCTACCTTGCTTACGCTTCGATCCTCTCGTACAATCTTCACTACCTATTAATAAACTAAGTTATTCATTAATATAGTTGGTTTTGAAATCTAATTTTTATTAGCATTAGAATTTTTTATTACTATTCTTCACGTTGCATCTAAATGACCTCTAGTCTGGTAATATGATACCTGCTGGTATCTGAATACCCTACTGCCCTGAAACGAATTTATTCATTCAAATCATGGGACACCCAATCTTACAAACAACTGCCAAACGACTGGAATTAGTACAGTCGAGTGGCAAGAACCTCATCCATTGAACGCTCCCAAACACCTGGAACCGTACCGAAAGAACAAGAATCGAGCGCAACGAAATCAATTGGTTTATACTAACTCGTTAACTCCGCTGCAATCACGATTATATGTAAGTCCACAAATGGCGCGAAGTGTAATTTCGTAGTATTTCGTCAACGGGCATGTATTAACGTATAACGGTTAGAAGTGAACGACGAGTTCTAAATGTTTCGGTATGGTTCTAGGTATTCAGTTATTTTTAATATGTGGTACTCTTACCATTCAATTCGGTATCTGTTTATAGACTTCCAGATCTTCGTAATTTGAGTGAGTGCGCTTGTCTCAATGCAGTCAGGTTTCTAAATACTAGCAGCTATCATATTACCAGGCCACGGGTCAGCCGGCTGCACTGTAATTAATAATCAGGAGACATTTCTAGTGTTAAAAAGAAGACCAATGTTTCCAGAAGTAATTAAGCATTATAAGTTAGTTAACTGGTAATACAGTCAGTGTGAGTGGACCGAAGTGTAAGGATAAAATAAAAAATGACGATGATAATGCGTGAGACAAAATCAATTAGTGGTAATACGATGTTGATGACAGCTCACAAGTTTCGGGACTTGCGTCATGCACGGATAGTTGTAGTTGAAAATGGTAATCCATGAGGGAGTGTGTGTTTATCACGTCTCGTATTAAAGCTATGCGCTGAGAAGGCTGTGCTTATTTGGGCTGGGAGAGCATTCCAAGTAGGAACAAATCCTCATGGGGAAATGTGGTACTGTGCCTTGGTGTTTGCCTTTTGATGTGCAATTTTTCGAGGGTTACTGCGATGAGCGTGGTGGGGATGTCCTGAGAGGATGCCAGTGTTGGAGGGTTTTGGCGTACAGAATATGTTGTATTCCGTTATCACATCACCTCTCATTCTCGTAGAGCTCAGTCAGAACAATTCCAATTATTGAAGTCTATCTCTGCTATATTTATCCATTAACCTCGTCACCTCTTTAGTTGTCCATCTCTGCAATTGTTTTAAGGTATTTCTCATTAGTAAAGAGAAGAGGTGGGACAACATTGCGAACCCCAATGTGGGGCTATGGGACAGATATGTAATACAGTTCATGAGAGGTCAACTGTAATCTCAATCTTGTAGATCTTGGGATTCAGCACCTAGTGTTTAAAATTAGCTCGGTATTAGAAAAGCTGTTGGTGATGGAACTATACAATAGATCTTACGAACACAGACCTCAACACCTGAGATTATTCTGGCTGAGCTCTACGAGAATAAGAGGTGATGTGATAATTGAGTTTACTAATATTCTGACATCGTGTCCTACCAGCAAGAAGCAAGCGCAAAAAAATCACTTGGTTTATACAAGCTCAGAACAAGCACTTTTAGCCCCTTGAAGGTCATCGCTAGACTGAAATTCCACCACTCGACGGAGTTTCATGTTCTGATATAAAAAGGTATATAGGTTTGGTGTTTTTGTAGGTGTAAGTTAATTTGTATCAGCAACCACGTTTCTAATCATCGGTGCGTGCATGTATCTACATTTGAATATATCATTAGAATGAAAAGTTGCAATTGTCGGATCTTCCGATTTCTACACATTAAAGCATATTACTTTAATGCATTTCTGTTGGTTGTCTAAATCTTCTTGATGTTTACGACTACAGTGGATCAGTCTCTTTTGGCATATGTGTTCCCTGTGTGGATTACCTCTTTATTGCCATTAGGTCACAAGTGATATAAGTAGGGATGAATAGTGGCTGACAGTGGGCTCCAGGACGCGCGTTTCATCCTTTTTTGAACTCGTTATCTAGACGTATCCAGATCTCAGATTTGATGTTCACTTCAATACTTCAGGAGTTTACATCACTCATTATTTAGGAGTACCGTTTGTTTTTAATCAGGATATTTGTAGACAAAGCATTCTTTGAAAATTGTTGCATCCAAATGTAATTAACTGATAAACTTGTTTGCTTTCCCATTGTTTATCTACCCTCGATGCTTTATACGGTCTCAATATAATGTTTCCTGGCAAAATGATTCAAGGAAAAATGAATTTCCACCTTCATTTGCATACTCTATTCAAGATGCTTCCCTCTTAATTCATTTCTAATTCCCGATGTTTTTTCAGGTTATTCTTTCCTTACTTTTAAACTCATCACCAATTGAAAGTACAATGGAAGAGGAGTGTTGCGATAATCCTTGGGATTTACGTCCGAAGACTGAAAGTTCTACTTCAGAATGTGCTGTTCCTTTACAGCTGCATGTTGCTAACAAATTGAAACAAAAATTAAGTGAACAGTTTCTGTCGCGCAAGAATACTTCCAACATAAACAACTCACGTACAGTCATCTTGAAGAAGATCGGAAAAGAAAATGATACTAATAAATTACAAAGTAATCAAGTATTTCATACAACCGAACAAAGTCTACTTGCACAGTCAAAACAAAATCATACTCTAAAAGATGTAGATAATTTCCTTCCTGATTTACCAAAGCTCCAGACTTTAAATGTACCCTATCAAAATGGTCATTCACAATATAACACACCTAAAAACGAATCATTTTGTCAACCTGTTGCAAGTCCTCCGGTTATTCATTCTCAAGTTACAAAACCAAAATTTATCAAATGTGGCTCCTTACTTAATCATTGTCTAACTAATGAAGTAAACTCTTCAAATCTATTGCCAAATCCTCTTGTGATGAATCATGTTCCTACAAATACAAATAAAACAATTAACAATCTCGAAAATCCTGATGTTCAGTTTACAGATAACCTATGTGATATTGATGTGAAACACATACCCAAACACCAAACAGATGATAAATTAGATATGCCTGTCTCAAATCATGTCAGGCCTAATCGAAGTTGTTTACCTGTGCATAATTATGTCAAACTTAACTTGAAAAAGAAACAATTTTGCCGTAAAGGATCATCAAGACAACAGACGTTAAGAAGAAAAGTTTATTTCAATAAACTTAAAAAGAAGCTTAACAAAACTTATAATAACAAAAATGCCTGCTTTATATGCGGCGTTTCAGGTCACTGGGCTAATAAGTGTCCACAAACAATCATGAAATCTCAAGCTCCTATCGAAAACAATTCACTTGGCTGGCAACAAAGTGATAATCCTTGTAAAATAATAAGCCTTTCCGAACTGGATAGTCGATATTTTCCAGCTAACATTAGTGATGTTTTACCAGTGGAACTTATTAGCAATTCTCCAAAACAATCTTTTTCTATAGATGAACTATCTGTTCGTGTGAAATATTGTTTAAAAGAGTTAGGTTTTGAATCATTTCGTCCTGGTCAAGAGTTAGTTATTTTACGTACACTTTTAGGTATTTCAACGTTGGCTGTAATGCCAACTGCTTTTGGGAAGTCACTTTGCTATCAAATACCTGCAGTAATATACCAGGTAAATTGTATTATCTTTTTTTTTAATCATTTTGTATGACATCATTAAGCAAGTGTATAAAACTGTTGCCTTGGTTATTTCACCTCTTATTTCACTGATGGAAGATCAAGTTATACAAACTATATCAGGATTAAATGGTACTTTTTTGAATTCAAGTCAATCGATCGATCGAAAGAAAGAAATATTAGAAGAAGCACACAGGTAAGTCAGTCAGTCAGTCAGTTGCAACGTAGAACTTCATGCGTATATACATAAGTTCAGGTTGTCATACCACATTAGCACAGAGACGCAAATGTCAAATCAAATCCCATAGTGATAGAGATAGTAGAGGTATTAATAGTAATGAAGAAGACTAGGGTTCGAAGATATTATTCAAGAAATATGATTCAGTGAGATAAGGTTAGAAAGACAAAGGTAGAAGTACTGACGAATCCAGAAGATTAGGATTTGAGAGAACACAACGAACGGATGCACTTGCGCCATTGCAAACGATTTTGAGCCATGTCGTTCAAGGTCTCTAACCATTGATGACTTTCGTCTCGCGGACCCCAACCGGGTGGTAGTCTACATCTACCAACATGACTCAGTCCACTAGTCAGCGACTTCATGGATTTGTGCCATGTTTTGTTCTGCTCGCCCCTAGCTTTCTTCCAACCTACTCCTACACCACAAAACATAGCTCGTCGAGGCAGTAGTCGGTGGTTAGGCATACGTAACACATGTCCCAACCATCTCAACTGATGAAGTTTCACCACTTCATCTATTGATCTGCCATCCTTACCTAGTACTCATATCCTAACGACAGCATTGCTTACTCGGTTGTCGCACGATATACGAGGTAAGTAGGTAGGTATAATAAGTTCCTTATAATGATGATATTAGCGTTTCAAGATACTATTTTAACTAAATGTTACATTTTACTATTTAGTTCATTTGCATTTTGAAAATTCCCCTAATAAAATTATGCTAAATAAAATGGCTAGCTACACACTTATCAGCAAGTACAGTCATTCATATTATTGCAATATTTTTTGTTATCCAAGTAGTAAAATACAATTTTGTTCGCACTAAAGTTCGATGTTGAGTTGTTTTTTCCAATGTGCTGATATAGATTTAATCATAGCTGTCACCTTGACGTAGTAGTTAGGTTTGTCTATTGTGATGAATTATGTTATGCTGATTGAAACTTTTATTACTGTAGATATTACCATATCAGGTGGGTTGAGTGAAGTATAGTAAGACTGGAAGCTGCAACTTTAGGTCTGAGAGTGAATTTGTACTGCTGATTGTACAAGGGTATGAGGTGTTTTCCTCAAAGAACTAAGATCTGCATAGTTTTTTGCCTTATCATAACGGAATGAAAGACTTGAGACAAGGATGACTTCAAAAATAGAATATGTCAGTTTACTCCACGAATTTCCCATGAAAAGCAACCAATATCAGCTTGTCACTTGTCATCATTTCTTCTATCTCTATTATAAACCTTTCCTTAAGTTTCTTACTACACGTTAACAGTGCTAGGGATTAAACTTCATGAAATGTATTCTTGATCTTATGAAACTGTTCTTCAAGCCACTTGTTAGAGCTTTCACTGATTGAAATATACATTGAATCAAATAACAGTTTTCTTTAGATTATAGAATCTGCTACGATCGATGTATGTCATCTCCAAAACACGCTCGCAGAAGATGGGTATATTTACTCACTTGATCTTCAGTATAGAGAACTGGTGTGACTTATTCTTCATGAATCTGAGGACTTGACTGCTACTTCTCATGGCCTTGTTGGAGTAGGTATAGTGTTAAGTTTGATATCAGAACTGGTTCTTGACAGGGACACAATCTGTTATTTCTTTGTTTTCTCTGTCAGTTCTTTTAGCTGTTCAGTTTAGGTCAAGTAAATGATAGCTTTTATGGGAAATTTTCTACCTCTCCAAAAACCAAACGCTCTAATGTAATATAGTAGAAGGTGATTTTTATGTCGAGCTAGTAATCTAAACCAAACTGAAAGGCACATAGTTAATCTTATGGTGTTAGCCTAACTATTGCAAATATGCTCAAACAATCATTTATTTCTTGCAAGCATCACTTTTATGCATATGGAAAACATCGTCTTACTGTAGTGAATGAGAACACAGGTGGGGCAACCGAATTGTATTTAACGAAAATTACAGAGTTACTCAGTAAAATCGGAAAACCATATCGTAAATCGTTAATTTGCAAAAGATCAGTTCATCCTATGGAACTGGACTGTTCCTGTTGCCAAACATCAATCCATTGTCACTATTCATGCGTTTCATGCAAATTCCATTGTTTTCTAACTCTTCCTTTCTTGATCTTCCCCCATATTATGCTACAAGACTTAACGTTGAAACACGTTATATACTACTTATAAGTAGTTCGCACCACAGCACCACATTACAAGTTGACTTATCACTGAACTAATGTCAGTATAATTTGACCAATCATAGTCTATTAGACTCTTGAGTGATTAAGTAACATTCTCTTTACTAAAATGAAGGTATCACTATATATTATGCTACCTCTAAAAAAAATTAACTTGTAACTTTCATAGCTTTGAGGTCGTCAATTTAGTCATCCATACGGAGACTTATAGGTTCACCGAGATAGATATTCAAGCCATCATTCAGAGGAATGCATAAAATCTGCTAGAGGCCTTCAAAATATAAATAATGAAAAGCTCAAGAATATCCTTAAAGGTAGTAATGTTAACTTTATTGAACCTGTTGATTATTTTCTTGATTTAAATGAAAGTATAAAACATTTTACAATTGTCAAGTACACTATATTTATAATTTAATAGGGGGAAATATTCTTTTCTGATGTTATCACCTGAAGCAATAGTAGATTCTGAATGGTTACTTCAATCTGGACGTTTACCTCCGATAAGTTTTGTTTGTATTGACGAAGCACATTGTTTAGCTGATTGGTCTAATCATTTTCGACCATCATATCTGCGTGTTTGTAATTTACTTCGAAAATATATGGGAGTTAATTGTTTTTTAGGTATGTTTACGTATATATATATATGTATATATATATATATATATATATATATATATATATATATAAATTCCCACATAAACAGGGGGTTATTAGTTTGTAAACTAACCTGATTTCATGTTTGAACTGTAAGATAAGAAGAGGATATTGGTGATTATTTCTAATAGATCCTTAAAAGCAAGAAAACATTTACTTAAAACACCATTCATTCCCGACCGTAGCTGCTACCTTGACGTGGTGGTCCAGCTTGCCTATCGTCATGACCCGACCGAGCTATATTGGCTAGAACATATGTTCCTGAAGGTTCTACCATGTCGGGCAGGTCGATTGGAGAATGATAAGACTAAAAGCAGCAATCCATGGTCTGAGGGCGATGTCGTTCTGCTGACTGACTGCAGAGGGGTGTGACAGCAGTAAGGTGTTCCCCTCGGACAACCAGCATCTGCAGCGATGCTGCCTTCTGACAAGGAAGGAAGGGTTAGAAAATATAGACCCTAAAAATGTCACACCTCACCCTACCTCACGGATTTCCATCTCCGGCGGTAAGGGTTCCCACTAAGGGCCTTTAAGAACGGAGCTAATACTCAAAAAACCTTTCATAAAAAGGTCGTGCGTGACCGGCCTCAAGCAGTTGTCCCTTGGGCTCTGCGGTCACGCTCCCAGGTCTCTAAGACCAACACTAATCTATCCTCCTATTCAGATCCCTCAAGAAACAACGTTCCACGGTGTGAGCAGCCGGAAAGTGACAACCGCCCTCATATCCGTAACAGCACGCGAGACCAAATTGGTCAAAATTAAATCCTCATTCATTTAAGCAAACTCGATCCAACCCTGACTTTCAGTGTGACTAAATGAAAAAAAATTATAATTCCCTAAAAGATCTTTTCAAAAATTGACTTAAGCCTGAAAGATGTGATTTCTATCGAGTGTATTACTTATTTACCCCTAATGGGGAGCATAAGCCACTGACTAGCATTCGCCAATCAACTCTGTCCTGCGTATTCGTTTCTAGTTCTACTCCATTGCTATTCGATGTTTCTTAAAAGCTGTCTACAATTCTCAGAGCAGTGTATTCCTTGGTTTACCTCTTTTCTTTCGGCGTTGATGGTTCCAAGTTAGATTGACTCTATTGTTGCCTATACATAATTTACATTACAATAATCATTCCACAGTAAGTATATATATCCGATAGTAATCTATGTTGGAGTGAATCATATTTCTTGAATATCTTCTAATCCTAACCTCTCCGATTACTTCTAATACCTTTACTACCTCTACTACTATTGCATTTGAATTGACAGTTATATCTCTGTGCTGATAAGGTATGGCAACATGAACTGATGTACTTACATACAAAGTTCTATGTTGCATCTGACTTTGACTCTAAAGTTTCAATACTTGTACCTCTTATATACCATGGACAGGTATTCGAAATTCCGCCGAAACCCTGCAAGTTATTGTATTTTCCAGTTTTGATTTCTACAGTATGCTGCGTATGAAATCTCCAGCCCCTCGTGTACAGCGTCAATAATGTTGACATTACGTTGAAAGTCAATGTGGGATACTTTTAGACTCAATTTGCTCTGAAAATATTTTTACATGTTAGAAGGTTCAGTCAAAATGTAAAGTAATCAACAAGAGAAATGATTTCTCTTTGTAAATTCTGACTCACCAGAGTTGATATCAATGATGAATTCTACCATAACATTCTAACTAGCGTAGTTGGTATCGGATTGTTAGTTGGGGTTACAAACTGAGTATGTTGTTGTTGCAAAGTAACATTTTCTAGGCATTCAATCTTCACTTTTAAATTATAAGTTAAATAATGTTGTTAGTTTTCTAAAAGTTTGTCTCAAATGTTAATAAATTAAATCCAGAGATAACTTCTCGAATTATCACCGTTGTGCTAACTGTTTTCTCCATCTGGATTTTTGAGAAATAATCTCAATTAATAAAGATCACATTAGAATCAAATTCTAGCCTTCTGAATTCCTCATCACCTTTATCTTTCACTTTCTCAATTTATTTCACTAGATTATACTTCTTGAATAATATCTTCGAACCTTAATCTTTTTCATTACCGCTAATACTTCTACTACATATGCTATACTGGGATTTAAACTGACAATTAGGTCTCTGTACAAATGGCAAACTGAACTAATGTACGTACGTACGTACGTACGAAGTTCTATGTTGTTAATGACTGACACTATTATTACGTCACTTTCATGCAGTAATTTCGTATCATTAAAATTAAATCATACTCACTTCCTTTCTCTACCTCCTCATAACCTCATATTTTATTGTTTAGCTTATATATATATATATATATATATATATATATATATATATATATATATATATATATGTAGGGAACGAGAACACAGGTGAGGTCAACCGGATTGTATTTAACGAAAATTACAGAGTTAGTTACTCAGTAAAATAGGAAAACCATATCGTAAACGGTTAATTTGCAAATCTTCAATCCATTGTCTGACATTTCACTCACTATTCATGCGTTTCATACACAAATTCCATTGTGTTCCCACTCTTCTTCCTTTCTTGATCTTCCCCGCATCTTCTGCTGCCGGACATCACGTTTACACTCGCGTCATATACTACTTATAAGTAGCTCGCACCACATACATTGGTTTCTCTTTGTACCAATCTTGTGCTTTAAGTAAATAAATCAATAACTTAATATCCATCAAACAGATTAATTGCCAAATCATGTGTTCAATCAACACTTCTTAATGGAAGCCACCTTAATATTTATTTCACAGGAACTTCAAAGTTAATCGTGCAGTAAAAAAAGATTAATGTCTTCAAAATGAAAAGAATATGCACATTGAGAAACTTGAGACAAAACAGAAGACAACGAATTTATACTACATTTGTATTACTGTAATTATTGTGTAGTAAGTAATACAATGAAGATCTTATCATCAGTGTTAACCAGTAAATTACTATGATTCATTTAGAGATGGATCATCGAATCTCTTAACAAGGGTCAAAGGAAAGCTAACTATCTTATTGAAAAAGTACTCTCAGTTTGTTTTTTGTTTTACCATGTTGTTTGTTCAAGTTCATTGTTGGTATCTGTTTGTTCTCGATCGATATGTTGTTATCGTTTCAAGTTTCTGTTTCTTGCAGTTCCATACAATTTGTTTATTGTTAATCTGTTTATTAATCTACGTGTAGATACGGTTTTGAAAATATCTACCCATTTACTTACGCCTGTTACCCCATAATGGAGCTTAGATCGCCGACTGGAATTCTTCTACCTACTCTCTCCTAGGCCTTCTTTTCCCTTCTTTCTTATCTGGGCTTGGGGATTGGCAGTAATTTCCAAGAAGAGCTCCACGTGGATTTAGTTTTGATAATTCACTCTTGTAAGAACATCTATCAAAGCTGAATGGTTGATCAGTACTTTCGTGTAGTAGTAGTTGTTGTTGTTGTTTACCCACACACTAAAGACTACCTGACATGAAATTAGAAAGCGTCAGTCAGTCAGTCAGTTGCAACGTAGAACTTCGTACCTATGTACATAAGTTCATGTTGCCGTACCACATCAGCACAGAGACACAATTGTCAATTCAAATCCCATAGTGATAAAGATAGTAGAGGTATTAATGGTAGTGAAGAAGACTATGGTTTGAAAATATTATTTAAGAAGTAGAATTCAGTGAGATAAGGTTAGAAGACAAAGGTAGAGGTGCTGACGAATCCAGAAGATTAGGATTTGAGGGAGCTCAAAGAGTGGATGCACCTGCGCCATTGCAAACGATTTTGAGCCATGTCGTTCAAGGTCTCTAACCATCTCGCGGACCCAAAATAAGTAGTCTATATCTACCAACATGACTTAGTCCACTTGTCAGTGACTTCATAGATTTCTGCCATGTTTTTTTCTGGCCGCCCCTAGCTTTCTTCCAACGTACACTACAAAACATAGCTTGTCGAAGCAGTCGGTGGTTAGCCATACATAACACATGTCCCAACCACCTCAACTGATGAAGTTTCACCTCTTCATCTATTGATCTGCCATCCTTACCTAGTACTCATTTCCTAACGACAGCATTGCTTACTCGGTTGTCCCACGATATACGAGCAATGCTTCTTAAACATCTATGATCGAATACTAGTAACCTACGAACATCTTCTACTCTTAACGGCCATGTTTCACAGCCATATAAGAGAACGGAACGAACTGCTGCGCAGTACACCCGTCCTTTGGTTAGCGAACGGATATCACGCCTACGCCATAAGTGACGCAGGTTGGCAAAAGCCAATCGAGCATTCTGTATCCGAGCTGAGAAGTTTCGTATATGCATGTTATTGCTAGCAGGAAACACTTAAATACGTAATTGTGGACGTATAGCGAAGTAAACATTAAATGTAGATAATGTGGTAGCTGAAAATAAGTCGAATTTTTTTCTTTCACGTCAGAGTTGGTAATGGTTTATAGTTAATGTGTTATCATCTGAGAAACTGCAATACAATATAATGTGTGGTGTATAGGAATCCCATATATTGGGATATAAATAAATCTCCTAAACATATCAAATAATCATTTGTTAAGCTTAAAAGTACGTTATCACCAAAATTAATGCGCGTACTAAATTCTGTCACTAATTTCCGCAAAGCGAACATGTATGTAGTTAAATCAGCTGTCATTAGCTAGCAATGTTATGCCGTCATACTTCTGAAAGTTCATTGTGATAAATGTGATCATATACCAGTTGCGTGTATAACGTTAGCTGTTATCATATGGAGTGGATTATGCATAATACTGACTCATAAGTAGTGGATGCAATTTTATTCAGGTCGTAAATCAATAACTTGAATCTTTACCTTGCCAGATAAAAAAATATCGTATGTACTGAAGGCTGACAAGTATCGTATTTACTGCTGTCTTCGATCTAATGAAAACGATTACTTTGGGGAAATCCACTAAACTGTACACCTGAGTTTTAATGATCTATTGCGTATTCGTCTGTCGCGAGGAAATGGTTCGTCAACCGAAAGTTATACCACCTCGCTTTCCATGAACGCATCATTGGAAGGTTCACCAATTAATCCTGAGTATCTCGCAAGCTATTTTAACTAAGTAGTCTGGTTTAATGTAAAATACGACAACATCTTTCTAGTCTTTCAGTAATTGTCTCCAGTGCAATATGTAAGAAAGGTGACTTTGCAGCTATCAAGAAGCTTTTTATAGCAAACGATATATAGTGTCCAATTTAATTCATTTCAATGATAAATTTCGTTTACTGACAGGAATATTGTCGTGCTTTCTCTCTATCCTAACATGTATCCATATGTTTGATTCCTTTTATCTTTGTGACTTAAATGGGTTATCACTTAACATCGTAATGATCTAATTAATTCGTTTACACATCGAGATTCTCATCGACAATATTTCTGACTTGTTAACCAACGCAACAGTTGAGATAAGGTTTACATCCATAATAGGTAACTCCTTAGAAAAAAATGGCTAGAGTTCAAACCTTGGTGAATTTTTCTTAAATAATACCATCCAAAGTAGTTGATGATCTTGATTTATTGAAATTTCCGTAGAGTCTGCTGCTTTTAGTTGAACTACCAAGTATACCTATCAAATAATCTCTTCATTGTTACAGTATTTCTGGAATATTTAGTTTACACATTCTTCTCTTTTTGTTTATTTCAGGTCTTTCTGCAACTTGTACACCTAATGTCATCACAAATATTTGTAATAATTTAGGATTGCATAATCCAACACGATTTGTTGGTGATATAATTAATGAGACAACTTTATATCAATCTGGTTATGTTCAACCAGTGTTAACACCACTTCCATCACATTTAACAATCACCGCATCAATGGATGTGAAAAAAGATGAAGCACTATTGAAATTGCTAACAAGAAAACCATTTAATCAATTAACCGGTGGAATATTAGTCTATTGTACAACTAGAGAGCAAGCTGAACAATTAGCATCATTTATACGTACAGCTTTACAAGATCAAGTGGATCAGGTGATTGATTGATTGATTGATTGCCTAACTTTTCTGCTTCTGACTGTCACTTATTATATTTTACACATTTGAAATCATCAATCAATTATTGGTTAGACCACCATGAGAAACCTGGAAGCACTGGACGGCCGTTTCGTCCTGGTATGGGACTCATTAGCAATGCGCATCCATAACTCCTACATGTCGCAGGGTTCGAACCCGGGACCTTCGGTATTATGTGTGAACTCCTAACCTCTGGGTGATGATTGTTGTCGCATCGAGTATCTCATTGAAAAACAATTATTTTATTCATTGTCTTATATCCCATGTATATAATTCTGCCTAGAGCCCTTCTAGGGTGTTGCTGCCGGTCCTAAGCCCGGATAAAAGAGGAGGGTTTAGCATGGTGTTAACGATCCCGTCGTATAGAAATCTAACTCGCTTAAAAAAACGTTAACCAGAAAAATAATTCGCTGGTCGCGCCGGTGAACCCCATGGATATGTTAATGACTGAAAAGTTTACAAGCTCATATTCGTTGTAGGTTGCTAAAAAGTTAAAAAGTTCAAAACATTCATTTATTAACTCTTCTTTTTTTGTCATCCCAGATTGGTCGTAAACGTATGAATTGGACAACAGCTGCATATCATGCTGGTCAAACAACCAGTGAAAGATCTCGTATACAAAAAAAATTTATGAATGGTAAAATACGTGTTCTTATTGCTACATGTGCTTTTGGTATGGGATTGAATAAAGCTGATTTACAAGCTGTTATACATTTCTCACTTACTAAATCATTTGAAAATTATGTACAAGTAAGTTAAAAGCTGATTATAGTAACACAAGTATATTTAGCTTAGTTACTATTATTTACAATACTTTAAAAACGGTTAAAATATCACATGTTATTTATGAAAAAAATGAGTATGGTGGATTTACGCTCATAAAAATTGTTTGTACTTATTCGAATCAGAGACAGACAGATACAACACAGAAATTCGTACGTATGTACATGCATTAGCACAGAGACGCAACTGTCAGTTCAAATCCAATAGTGGTACCAATAGTAGAAGTATTAGCAGTACTGAAGAAAATTAGGGTATAATTCAGTGAGATAAAGTTAGAAAGAGAGAGAAAGAGTTTGATGAGGAATTCAGAAGGTTGAAATTTGCGAGAACACAAAGATTGGATGCACCTGCATCATTGCAAACGACAAGGCTCAAAATCGAATCTCTATGATGGCATTACTGTTGAGCTAGCCTTACCAATATTTATGGTCTCAAACATGTAGTCGACTAATATTCTGGTATTAGTAGTTGTGTTTTTGGAACTGTACTTGTTAGATACATGTTAGATATGTTACAACATGAAACCGTCTTTAAAGTTCTTGCTTACTTTTGTGTTGCACATAGTTGAATTATGCGCACATTTTGATTCAGGCAACTCTGAGTGTATTTTGATTTATTTTAGTGTTGTGGTTAACTTGTGTAAATAAATACTATTATTGACCATCAACTCTTGAGTTCTTATTTCCAAGCTATTATACTGTTATTATATACTGTAATAATAAATTTTATCATAGACATGCTCCTAGAAACAACCTTATCCTCATCTGAATTTTCAGGAGTAGACCTTTTACCAGGAAGATCGCTTATCGACTTAGAAAATGCCGATGACATAGTCCTACTTGGTGAAGACGCTGACAAAATGCAGCGTCTTCTGACTACCCTAACCAACAATGCGAGCATGTTCGGTATGCGGTTTTCCCTCTCGAAATGCAAAATGTTGCTTCAAGACTGCGTTTCATCGGCACCTGAACTAGTGATAGAGAGTGAAGTAGTCGAACGTGTAGACCGCTTCACTTATCTTAGGAGTCTCATCAGTGCTGATGGCCTGGTGACTGACGAAATCTCAGCACGGATACAGAAGGCTCGATTGGCTTTTGCCGACCTGCATCACTTATGGCGTAGACGAGATATCCGTTTGCTGATCAAAGGACGAGTGTACTGCGCAGTAGTTCGCTCCGTCTTACTTTATGGCTGTGAAACATGGCCAGTGAGAGTAGAATATATTCGTAGGTTACTGGTTTTCGATCATAGGTGTCTTCGAAGCATCATTGCTCGTATATCGTGGGACACCCGAGTGAGCAACGCTGTTATTAGGAAACGGGTGCTAGGTAAGAATGGCAGATCAATAGATGAAGTGGTGAAACTTCATGAGTTGAGGTGGTTAGGACATGTGTTACGTATGGCTAACCACCGACTACTGCCTCGACGAGCTATATTTTGTGGTGTAGGAGTAGGTTGGAAGTTAGGGGCGGCCAAACCAAAACATGGCAGAAATCCATGAAGTCACTGACGAGTGGACTTAGCCATGGCGGTAACTGTCGACTACCTGGTTGAGGTCCACGAGATGATAATAATCGATGGTTAGAGACCTTGAATGACATGGCTCAAAATCGTTCTCAATGGCGCCAGTGCATTTATTCTTTGTGTTCTCTCAAATCCTAATCTTCTGGGTTCTTCAACACCTCTAGTTTTGACTTTCTAAACTTATCTCACTGAATCATACTTCTTGAATAATATCTTCTAATTCTAACCTCTTCGATTACTTCTAATACCTTTACTAACTCTTCTACTATTGGATTTGAATTGACAGTTACATCCCTCTGTGCTAATGTGGTATGGCGACATGAACTGATGTACTTACATACGAAGTTCTACGTTGCAACTGACTGACTGTAATAATAAGTTTAACACTTGTAAGATATTGAGTAGGCAGTTTATTTTAATTTTATCCATTAGTTATGTTGATATATATATATATATATATATATATATATATATATCTTTATTGTTTCATTTCCAGGAAATAGGTCGTGTAGGACGTAAACAACAAGCTTCCTATTGTCATGCATTCCTACCTTCCTCTTTAATGAATGATCCATACGAAGAGAATCATATAAGGCGACATATTTTTGCTAATCACATTGATATTGTATTATTAAAACGTTTACTTGGATTAATATTCAAAGACTTTCAATGTACATGTCGTCAGCCTATAATAGTAGAAATTAACAAAGAAGAAGATCCATTGGTTTGTCAAGGTCATGTACATGCAATTGATCTACAAATGATCAGTGAACAAATCGATATTAAACCTGAAAGTTTAGCTACAATATTGGCTTATTTAGAATTAGAACCTGGTAATCCAATCATCTCGTTATTACATTCTGGTTATGCTGTAAGTACATGTCTTCATTTCTTTATTTTTGTTGACAATAAACAACTAGTGACTATCTTTGGGCTATTTGCCAATTCTTATTATAAATATATAAGCTCAATACAGAATACTGTTCACTGACCTCATCGTTGCCGTTATACATAGCTTTAATGGTGTAAGTGACTTGTCTTATTGACGTAAATACGCAGATGACACAGTCTTGGACGTAGCGATCGCTTCACTTATCTTAAGAATCCTATCAGTCCAGATTCGGAAAGCTCGACTGGCTTTGGCGGCGTAAGTGAGATGTCCATCTTCACAATAGTTCTTCGTCATACCTTGTGGATGTAATAGAGGATATTTGGAAGTTATTAGTATTCGATCTCAGGTATATTCGAAGTACTGCTTGTGTATTTTTGGGGATGAAGATAGGGAATCGACTGATGAGGTAATGAATCTTTATCAGTTAAGGCGTTCAGGACATGAGTTACTTATATCCAACCACCGACTACCTAAACAGGCAATGTTGTCTGGTGCAGAGGTATGTTTGAAGAAAGCTGGGGGCACTCAAACCAAAGCATGGTATCAGTCCGTGAAGTCACTAACCATTGAAGTGAGCCATGTTACAATGACCCTAATCTGTAATCTAGTAAATCATTTTGATTATCTCAAATGATTTCACAATGTTACATAATCGAATTGCATACTTACAAATGTTATAAGGCATCTGTGATTAGTCTTCAAGCTTACTAACAACTTCTTTTTTAGCTACTTAAAAAAATTTACACCACTTGAGGTAATTATCACTCATCTTTATTCTTCATCTGGTATTCTATTGCTTATATTTTACTTTTCAGACAGCTACTGTCAGTTGTTATGGAGGTCAACCTGAATTAGCTTATGCTTCACAACGTTGTTTAGCTGTTGCTGGTGCTCTTAGTTTATGGAAAAATGAACAAACAAAAGATTCACAAACTAAGAATGAATATCCAAGACAGTTGCAATTAAATTTACCACAATTATTTAATCGTTGGGGTTGGAAACCAAATGTAGTGAAACAAGAATTAAAAAAGCTAGAATGGGATTATTCCACGAGTAATAATTTGTCGAATGCATCAAATCATAAAGGTCATCATCGTACTGGGATAAGTATTGATTTTTCACATTGGAGTTCATGGTTGTGGATACATGGTTCGGAAGTACCAATTACAGATGAACGTTTAGATAACTGTTTAACTTATTTAAATAATCGTTTACAACAATCTGAACAAACAGCTTTGCTTAGTATTGAACAATTAACTCAAGCTTTAGGTACTGTTGCACAACCATGTTTTCAAAATCTCTACCCTACAGAAACTAACAATGATTTAGAGACTCCTAAGACTGATTGTGAAAAAAATTGTAAACAAGGATCATCTATTGTGCATGAATTAATCAAGTCCCATTTTTCTGGTATTAAAAGCACTTTACAAAATGATAAGTCAACAATTATTGATGACTGTCAAAATCGATATCGTTGGCCATCAGCTGTAACAGACACACAAGTAAGTGTGGATATTATATATGTTTAAATTATTTATTGTCTAGATATCCAAGGATATACGAGCAGTGCTTCGAAAACACCTATGATCGAATGCCATTCTTTAGTGGCCATGCTTCACACCCAATAGACTTGTCCTTTTGTTAGCGAGCGGATATCTCACCTACGCCATAAGTGGTTCAGTTAGAGCATGATACGAGTCTAAACATGTGCTCCGGAACGAGCGACGTTTTTGTGACGAGCCTCTCCATCGGTGGCTGATAGTGATGTTGTCTAATTGGGTTGATTTTGAGGGTCACCTTGTCTAAGGTGTATTTCCGTATGCTTCCAGTTCGTTTTCGCTAGAAATAGGCAGTTATCTGAGTATAGCTTCAACAGACGGTCGCCATTATCTGTTCTTTGAGCCACGACACCATAAGATCCACATAGGTGTCGTTCAGTTTCGCTTAATCTACCTACTTGAGCATTGAAGTCACGAGCCACTATTACCATATCAGAGCGCTTAACTTTCTGAGGAAATTTAGAAATGTCTCTGTAAAACTCATTTTACCTCGTCTGAGCTGCAGTCAGTAGGAGCGTAGGCATAGACAACAAACTGGCAACGGTGAGTGTCCCTATCTTTCCGAGTCCTTATTGTCCCGTTTAGTCGGACAGCGCACAATCGACTATCTAACTGGATCCAGTCTAGGACAGCTAGTTCTGTCCTACGACTCAATGCTATACCTACACCAGCGAGGCCATAGAAAGCAGTATCAGGACTACCAGATACACCGAGTTGGTTCTTTAGCTGGACAAGGTGAATTCAAATAAATTATTCTACTCAGATCCTGTATGCTTATTTTAGAGACGCAGCATACATCGATGGCACGAGATTCTCAAGTCCCTAGCTAAGGAAGTTTGTCCCCATATTTGGCACAAAGTTTGGATATTAAATACTCCAATATATGTTATTTAGAACGGGGTTTTGGGAGACTAGGAATAACGTTTCGCGTACTCGAATAGTTTGTATTAGCGGTGCGAGGTGATAAAGAAACGTCAGAGTGGTTAGTTGTGGAGATAAGAGAGTTATTAAGAGGTGTAGGAAAGATTTGATTGTGACCAGTTTGGTTTCGTATGTTGTTACGGGTATGAGGGCGGATGTTATACTCCCCAGCTGTCTACACCGTGAAAGCTTCAGTCTAAGTTTGCTGACTAAAGGACGAGTGTACTGCGCAGTGGTTCGCTCCGTCTTACTTTATGACTGTGAAACATGGCCAATGAGAGTAGAAGATACTCGTCGGTTATTGGTTTTCGATCATAGGTGTCTTCGAAGCATTGCTCGTATATCGTGGGACACCCGAGTGAGCAACGCTGTTATTAGGAAACGGGTACTAGGTAAGAATGGCAGATCAATCGATGAAGTGGTGAAACTTCATCAGTTGAGGTGGTTGGGACACATGTTGCGTATGCCGAACCACCGACTGCCTCGTCGAACTTTGTTTTGTAGTGTAGGAATAGGTTGGAAGAAAGCTAGGGGCGGCCAGACGAAAACATGGCATAAATCCATGAAGTCATTGACAAGTGGACTGAGCCATGTCGGTAGTTGTCGACTATCTGGCTGGGGTCCGCGAGATGATAATAATCGATGGTTAGATAACGTGAATGACATGGCTCAAAATCGTTCGCAATAGCGCCAGTGCATTTATTCTTTGTGTTCTCTCAAATCCTAAACTTCTAGTTTCTTCAACACCCCTAGTTTTGACTTTCTAAACTTATCTCATTGAATCATACTTCGTGAATAATATCTTCTAATTCTAACCTTTACGATTACTTCTAGTACCTTTACTACCTCTTCTACTATTGGATTTGAATTGACAATTATATCTCTGTGCTGATGTGGTATGGCGACATGAACTGATGTACTTACGTACGAAGTTCTACGTTGCAACTGACTGACTCAGTCTAAGTAGTAGTGCTTATGATAGACAATCATTTTTAAGATCTATTTGTACTGACGTAATGTTAACAAAATATTCCATCTAAATGGCAGCAATGCGCGAATTCTTAGTTTCTTATTTTTTTGTTGTTGTTCAAAGATTGTTCAGGTACAGTCTACAGTTAGAAACTTCTTAAACATATATGAACATAGTCTTGACAGAAAAATCACAGGTCGGACACTCGCTAATATATTTCATGGAATATCGACTCCTCACTTCCCTGCAACTACATGGTCACATTGTCGACGATTCTGGAAAGCTCATTTGGATATTGACTGGCCAACTATTAAGAAGATTGCTACGCAAGAATTACTAAATCATTTTTCATGCACCTAAACAATTTATTTAAACCATTTGTATTTTAGACGCTGACTTCAAACGTCGATCACTGTATGAATAAATAAATATATCTGTGATTGATTTTTAAATTAAATTATCTATTCATCTTATTATCTAGAATGAAACTTCGTGAATAAGGTTACCAACCTAAGACGAAACTATTCGTGTTCGGATGTGAAGAAGAATAAGATTTATGCAATCATCGTTGCGTCATACTTCGTCCGGTAATTTCTGTCGGCTTCACATAGTTGGAGTGGGTTAGTAGGACATATATTGCATAGAAGAGCACGAACGAAACGTTTTTAGTCAGTTTATGTACGCGCCCAAATAAAAAAAGTGAGCAATTGCTATACAATCTAAATCGTCGAAAGTCAGTCCTACCAGTTACGGATGCTTCTGGTTATCAATTATTTCAGGTCACACAGAAACAGAATTTACTGACTAACTGCCTTGCCTAATTATCATACCCAGTGGAGTAGGTTTTAACAAAGTTGCTACGTATATGCATTGTCAAGTTCAAGAAACGTCAATACATAGGGTTGAGAGTTTATTGCTATCACAATATCCTCCACTTTAGCATGCGATGTTGGCGAAAATAAAAAATTATGAGAAATCTCACAGCGATCACGTCAAAACAGACTCGCTTATGAAACGAGTGCAGATCCACTGAATCGGATTTTAAACATGATGTCTATTTCTATGCCAGTACAATGTATGACAACTTAGAGCGACATGCTTTTGCATTGACATTCCTAATTATCATGAAACTGTATGAATGGCTTCTTATGAACATTCAAAACGGATTTTTGCTGATCTATGTTACAGCCAATTGATAAAACAAGATACCAACCTACCATTTAGTTTCATTATGCCGTATCTTAATATTCCTTTTGAAAATATCAGTTTCAGCAAGCCGGATGAACAAATGATCAATACAGTCAAATAAAAAAAATTTGTATAAGTAAACCGTAACAACTATTAAGCGGACGTCCACTAAATTTTGAGTCAGAAAAATATACAAGTTGGTTTTGCTTACATTACGTTTCAATTTGCCAACACATCCTATGGTTCTAGGGAATACGGAGTACTAGTCTCTTAGGGGTCGATTTCTCTGGAAGTTAAATAACGCAACTCAGCAACCAAGTTAATCAGTTTAGTCGAAAAATCAATAGTTTTCGTATGCTATATGTTAATATGAAAAACATAACTAATGGTTTGAGTTCTAGCTAATCATTTAAAACAATGTGACTATACTACAGCAATAAAGTGGCGAAACACACCATTTACAGAAAGGCACATACTTAGAATTAGTCTCTCTCACAAGAGTGAGCACCTGAATTCTACTGAAATAGATTCGGATTTCATTCTGGACCTTATAAACAAGAAGATAAACACAGACCACATACAAATAAACTAAATGAGGATGCCAACACAGTACCAAAAACAGTGCGAAACGTCTTCATTGAAAATAAAAATTTATTTGCTTTCGAAAAAGTAAAATTAATTAGGCCACAATAAAAAATAAGTAGAAAAATACAAAGCAACTAATCGTTTGCAGTTAACGAATGCTGTGTCGATTTTAGCATTTGACGTTGGTGGTTTTGTTGTGACAGTATTCTTTGCACATGGGCTTCCAGTAAATCAACATGCTTTTCTGCATTAGTAAGTTTACTGTCTAGCTGTGATATCTTTGTCCGACATGAAGAGTCAAAACGATTGAGAAAATTTACTAGGCTTTTGATATTTGTGATAATGACATCAATTCTTTCTCGGTTCCCCCAGTCGTCCTTAATTTCTTTGGCAGCCCTGAAGGTCGAAGCCATAGACGATGTGACGGGACACTCAAAATCGTCAGTCCAATATCCAATATATTTTTCACGCGCTGATATGAAGCAAATTATTTCTCTGCGCTTGAATCTTGTTTTTTCTGTACGGTTCCAGGTATTCTATATTGTCGAATCGATGTTCTATTCGACTGCGCTAATTCTTGATAGACATTTATAAATTTGTATGCTCCGTGATTTGCTTCAGGGTAGTAGGTTTTTGGATATCAGCGGTTATCACGTTACCAGGCTGTAGAGTAGCTAGTTGGGAATAATGAGGAGAAAATCCTGATATTAATAATGAGGAGACTTTAGAACTAATTACACAAATGAATGTGTACAACTCTGATCACTCAACCCAAACACATCCACTGTATCTTCAACAAGAAACCGGGACGACATTCACTCACACGTTTATTATTCCCGAACGATCAGCAGGCAGGGTGTGAATAGGAGAAAAAGGCATCCTAAGACTCGAATGACATAACCTTCTGTTCGCAATGAATACAGTGGTAGTTGTACTACCTACACGACGCCAGTTAAAACCGGCGACACTTATTTCAGTGTTCTGAGCCTTGAACGGATGGCATAGTTTGGCGGAGATTTACTTATTCCAAGCATTGCTCAGTACTTGTCCCACTGTTCTCTCTCAAGGGCAGCTAAATTTTCCAGTAGTCAACCCTCTAACAGCAGTACGAAAATTAAATTAGTCACTTTGGCCTTACGTCCCTTTCCTTGATTTGTGGCATTTTCGGGGCAGTGATAGTACTGTTTACCTTCCATACACTAACTCACTGCTTCCAACTACTAACAGACATTAAGGAGATTGAAGCAACTGACAGTTTCTTCAGTGTATTGATAAGGGTCATGGTTACCTTTTTCGCCTATTTGGTCGTTTGGTGCTGGGCATATTCCGTTTCGTATCACCGAAGGGTGTATCTGACCAGCAATCATCGTGGTGGGGTAAAAAAACCCACCCTATTCACATCTGTGCTGCAGACAATTTGTTTGAAAATGTTTTGTATCCGTGAAAAATCTGTGGAAAATCATATCAGAACAACATGCATGGCCAACTCAGTATGAACTTACAGTACTATCTGCATACCGCAATATCACAGCTACAGTGAACACATGCATTGTAGAAGTTTCATTCGACAGCAGTGTCGACAGTGCCCCTGTATTCTTTCTGAATAGAAGGTTATGTCATTCGAGTCTTAGGTTGCATTTTCTCCAATTCGCATTTTGCCAACCGGTCTTTCTAAGAGAATAAATGTGAGAAAGAATGTCGTTCCTGTTTCTTGTTGAAGATACAGCGAAGGTGTTTGGGTTGAGTGATCAGAGTTGTGCACAAAATTCCAAGGTTCCCTAACGAGTAACGCTCTGGACTGGGATTTTCGACTCACTACTTAGCCCAAAATTCATACCTATACTAGTTTTCCTAGTTGATATGGTGTAAACACTGGTAGCACCACTACTACGATAAGCGCGACTGAAGAGATGTAAGAGAGCACGAAACAAAATAAAGAAGAAAATACTCGAGATTTATGTTTTGAAGAAGGAAAATAAAAACAAAACGGAGTAGATTTATACTACGCAAGAATAAAACCTAAAGAATACACAAATATCCTAATATAGTTAGATCCAATATTTTTGTAAGGTCTTAGAAGAATCCATTTATCAGCCCTTGCTTCTCATTTCGGAAAGATTCCAGGTTTTTTCTGGACAGTTTTAGGTAATAATAGATTTTCATGTCTTGCAATTAATAACAATAATTTATTCTTAAATACTATGTTACAGGAGGCATACCAATTTCCAGGTAAGATCAAATAGTCAAATTTGCTGACATTTTTCTGCAAAAGGTTGTTCAGGTAGATTAATAATTTTATACGGAGCTAATATATTACGCATAAAATCTTAGATAACGTTTCAGACTCTGGAAAGTACAATACGATTGTTGACACGAGTTATGTCTTTCGCGACACGACGAACCACTGCTGACTGAGAATTAATGCAAGTTAAATCCAGAGCTTTATATAACAAGGAGTGATGAGGTAAATATATAATGATCTTCTTGTTGAGATCAGCAAGATAATCATGTGACAGGCCATTGGGGGAAACAGCCAAGTCGTCTGCAATTATCATGGCTAATATTTAAGGACTATGATGAGGTATTGACAAAAAAGAAGTAAGGAGAAACGGGTGTGGAGCAGAACGGAAACTATTCTTGTTTAAAGTTGAGTTATTGTTGGGGATGTTAAATCCCTGAAATTCGCTTGATAATGCCGTATTTTGGTTTTCACGTTTCGCCAGCATGGGCTGATCAGATGACCTTGAGATTTCAATTCCCACCAGCAAAACCAATGGCTGTGATTGGCTGCAGTGTATTTTGGGATGCTATTTTCTTAACTGTCTCAAGGACGTTCTTATGTTGTATAAATAAACGAGAGTTGTATGCTTGATTGTACTGTGATTGCTGGGTGTTTGTAGAATATACTTTCTACGCTTACAAAGCCTTCTATTTCGATTTTGGGTATTCAAGGTAGCCTCCCTGGAAGCTGGTAAAAGTCTCGTTCGCGTTTATCGACTAAGGTAACTCGTAATAGCCTCAAGCATACTAAGTGACGAACTTATCAGTGGCGACGGTACTTTGGAAATATGGATCCTGCCAAACTTGAATTATTACTTGAGCAGCAGCTGAAACTGATGCAGATGTTGACAGACATGAAGATTTCCCCTTCCACACAGCCCAGCTCATCTAATGCAACCACAGCTCCATCGGTCGACGGCATCGCAAATAGCATATCTGAATTCCATTATGATCCTGATGCAAATGTCACTTTTGACATGTGGTTCCGGCGTTATGAAGATTTATTTAAATTTGATTTCACCAACCAAGATGATGCTTGGAAGGTTCGGCTGCTACTTCGAAAGTTGGGCGCAAGTGAGCTGGATAAGTACTGTAATTTGATCCTGCCTTTGAACCCACGAGATTGTTCGTTTTCTGAGACTGTTCAGACTTTAAGCCAACACTTTGAAGACAACTCGTCACTATTTAATACTCGTTATCGATGTTTGAAGCTAATTATGAACGAAGATGATGACTTTCTTACGCATGTGGGCATCGTCAACCGTGAATGCGAACGCTTTCGGCTGAAGTCTTTGTCGGAAGATCAG